TTTGCCAATTTGTAGTGCGAATGCATGATTCATGTACTTTTTTTGAAAGATCGTATGATCTCGGAAATACCAGCTGACAAAGCTTTTTCGCTAGAAATCACTAAAAACTAACATTTGAAAGTATGACTAGTTTTTCTCTGAACTCGTTCCCATTCTTTAGTTGGATCTATAGGATTTAATAACCATCAAACACAATTCATTTTCTTTTTTGATATTTTCTTCTAGTGAACATTTTATCAACTTCTTATAAGTCTTATAAAAATGTGTGGTCTAATAGATTAACAAGCAAACGCCATCGCTTTTAGGCTGATTACAAATGAACGAATTACACTGTTTTGATGCGGTTCCTGCTCCAGTCGTCTGTAGCTCAGACGGTGGTGTGTTTGCTTCTTAATTTTAGGTACCCACATTCGAATCACACTCAAACCATGTAAGTTATATTTGTTTTCTTTCATTCCTCACAGTCTTGGAGCAGTGGAAACTCTTTGAGTGAGCATGTAGACCCTCGAAAAAAATGTTAGACCAATGCTGCATTTAAAAAATTAATTTTTTTAAGTTTAAATTTTTAACGCGTTTAAACGCATCAACTTCAGACGCGTTTCGACGCATCAATTCGGCCAAAATGGATATGGCGAAACGCGTTAAAAATTAACGGACATTGACGCGTTTTTGCAGCAGAAAAAGTTTGCCTGGATACTTGTAAATGAAAATCATGATATTTATCAAAAAGCCTTCAAGAACTTCCACAGCGTCAAAGCGCCGACAAGAACCAACGACTTCTTCACCTTCATCGGATGAAGAAAAAATCTATCGTGTTTGCGTTCAAATCGTGTTCAAAAGGGTCTCGTTACCATGTCGCAGAGAAAGTCATTTAGAAAAAACCAGCAAACTGACGATGATGATGAAAAACTGTCGAATGTTAATTTTGAATCTGATCGTACAAATATCCGTCAGGGACCGCGAGATCAAGGTGCGACTGCTACAACAGAAATTGATCCAGATTTCAATAACGATCAACAAAGTATATTTAAGCGAGGAAAAAAGGAAAAAGGTAAGGTTAGTAAAGGTAGGTTATTGAACATTTGGAGTGACAAGTCTCTTACTGTTTTCTTCTTTTATTCTAAGACCAGTTCGTGCACCAGCCCATTTGCGTGCCTCTGTTCGATGGGATTATGAGCCTGATATCTGTAAAGATTACAAAGAAACCGGTTAGTATTCCACTTTTGTCTACTAAGCCAATTTCACTTTCAGTCGTAAGAGAATTAAACATTTGCTACTGACAGTCGTTTCAGTGATTTTTCTGTAGAGTTTTCTGGCATTGTTCACGGTTTCCTTTCTAGGCTATTGTGGCTTTGGTGATTCATGTAAATTTTTACACGATAGTTCCGATTATAAACATGGTTGGCAATTACAACGTGAATGGAATTAGTAAAATTATGGTATCATTGATAACGACAGTGATCGATATTTGGTTAAAAATAATGCAGATGGCAATAATAAAAGAAAACTCTACTGACTTATGTTACTATCTGTAAATTGTATTATAGAAAATAATAAAGTGTTAACCTTAAGAGATGTAGCTTTATTATTAGAACGTCGTCTTTAGACATTATAAAATATTTTTATTTAAAGCAGAAAATCATTTTTTTACACGATCAAAGAAATAGCTTCACCCGGTTGTAAGAGATAAGGAAAAATCTGTAATTTAGATGCCATCGGTTCAAAAAAACGCAATTGGAGAGAGGAGGTTGAAGAAATTTTACCGGCTCCTTTCAAGCATATACGTTTCCTTTCAATGCTTGTTGAGAAGTTGATAAAATGTTCACCAGAAGAAAATATCAAAAAAGAAAACGAATTGTGTTTGATCGTTATTAGGCCGCGTTTATGTGAGATTTCAAAATGTTTAGATCAAGAAAAGTTGAACTTATCAAATGAATCGTTTCTAAGCTCTACAGAAAATTGGAACGAAGTTATAATGGATAAAACACTAATTAATAGACAAGGATACAGTTGAATACGTTTGCAATGGATCAAAGCTTGAAACTGTTTTGCTTTTATCTTATGGACTTCCAATTGTTACAAAAAGGAATGAAAAAACTGATAAAAAGACTTCAGAACGAGATCTTGCGTTGTACAATAAAAAGTAATATGAAAATAGTTTATTCGAAATCTTCTCCTTTAGGGAAGCCGTCAAAAGTTTCTCGATGGGCTCGCGCGTTCTGTCTTAAAAAAAGACGAGTCGAATGCACTATTTAAAACCCATTTTACAGTTCTCTGAATAAAGAGGAAAATATCTACGATACAGGTGTTTCAGAGCTGTTTTACCATCAGTGTACCATCAGTTTTCAGCATAATTTCTCTTGTTGCGCGATATTTTTACTTAGAACGAGTGTATATGAGTCGTGGAATATGCGCTTCCGAGTAATAGAGATTTTCTTCTCATCATTGCACACAACATGACCTCGACTATTCGACTGAGGGGGCGCTCCAACCATGGAGCTATTCGGGACGTTTACGCTCTAACTAAGTCCTTACAGAAGGCTTTGAAAACAGATTCCTATATAGAATCTAAGAGAAATTGTTAGAGTGCAAATTCGTTTGCCGGAATCCATTTCGTTTCCCCCTGGCTGACTTCACTAAAACTACTCTTTTACGGCTTAACTTGCCAGCTAGGAAACTGTTTCGCCTTGGTATTCCTTTAAATTTATTAAAATTAGTACTATAGTGGTTAGAACAGAAAAGCAGGGGCGCCCCAATAAGGGGGAGGGGAGGGAGCCGCTCCTGCTTTTTGAAAAATTTACTCCGATATCAGGATTTTCTTACTCCGAAAATTAGGTCTTTGACTTACGAGAATACCCCACACGGTAAAGCGTTTACTCGTATTTTCAGAGTAAGACAATTACTCTCATTTCTAGAGTATAAAAGGCTTACTCTCAGTTTCGAAGTAAAGCGCTTATTCCCATTTCCAGAGTAAGGCGTTTACTCTCAATGATGGAATAAAATATTTATTTCCATTTTACTAATTTTACTATTTTAGTAAAAGGCTTACTCTCAGTTTCGTAGTTAGGAATTTACTCTCTTTTCAAAAGTAAGATATTTACTTCTATTTTCGGAGTAAGAAATAGACTTCCGTTTTTTGAGTAAAACATTTGTTTTTTCTGTGTCTGTGCTTGATAGAAAATAAATTTCTGTCATATACATAATTAAGATAATAGAACAGACTGTATCATGGCATGTATTTTTATATTATAAAGCTTTGTGTTGAAAATAAATAGAGTTAGGCAGAAGGAAATTTAGTCTTGCTTTAGAAGAAAACTGCTTAGAACAATATCTGAAGTTCTTCTCCTATATTCGATCTGCCGACCTTTCATGTAGAGAAACAAAAACCTCATTTTAACCGCTCGAGAGAGTTCTACAACATCGTCTTTGGTATCTTATCACTAGCATTGCTAGTAAAGGACCCGTCGCACACTTTGTGTCGACGTTAAAATAAGCTCGACATTTATGTATAGTATAGCTGGTAACCTGTGAGTGATCACTAGTAAAGAGTATTTAAATATGTACGTAAGTGTATGGTCGATTATTTTGATTTTAACAGCATATATAGTATCTACAGATAAACTTTGAATTGTATAAATAAAAGAGTTCAGAGAAAACCAGTCATACTTTCAAATGTTAATTTTTAGTGGTTTCTAGCGAAAAAGCTTTGTCAGCTGATGTTTCCCAGATCATACGATCTTTCAAAAAAGTTCGACGTTCTTAAGAGAATTTTATACACGAAAACATGCGCAATTAAACGGGCTTTAAAATGATACATAGCACATCGTTTCAAACTAATGTCTTCATAGATGTATTGGACAAATACCTGACAAATATCTCGATTTTACCCGTGGTTTCAGACGAAAATGACTATACTTTTGTCAGCGCACTCAGATCCGGGATGGTTTATATATAGAACTTTTTCGCTGGAAAAACAGTAATTCGCATTAATTGAAGTTTCAATTAATTCAAAGCTAAAGTTAGTTGCACCGATTTAATATGAGACTTTTTTTTAATTCGCTCGTGAAAAAATTAACTAACTAATTTAAATATCTAAAATATATTCCGAGATAGAGTCAAAAAATTTCTTTAAAAAAGTATCTCCTTACACGTTTCAATTCATTGAATTTGAATTACATAAACAAAACTTAAAAACAAAACCATTTTGAATTGCTGAGAAGACATTTCGTTCAAAAATGCGTTTTTTTGCAATGAAACTTAAACTGCTTTACGAAATAAGGCCTTGGAAAAATGTTTTTTTTTAATGAACAATCAACTCTAACTCTGATGCATCTATTCTCTCAGAAGAATCCCCCTACCATATTCTTGATTACCGAGATATAACATCAAAGTAATGACGGTATACATTTTCCAAAATATATCATACCATCATTCTTTTCATAATTCCTGTCAGATCTTTAAATATTTAAAACCTTTTGCTGATATAGTCAGATAGAGCTCGATATGAGTTATCTCTTGAAAGTTTGTTTCTCAACAGGAAGTTGGTCTGGAGAAAATCATTATAAAATAACCCACTGCAACTCTAAGATAGGTAAAAATATAGCATTTTTTGAAAGTACTTGTCTATTATATGGAATGAAGGTGACGTACCCCAGATATCGTTGCGCCCAAATGTCGTGCGCCCAAATGTCGTTGCGCCCAAACGTCGGTATACCCTATTATTCATATGGGCAGTTTGCATCTATAACGTGCGATTTTGAAATAAATTTTTTCGAAATTGTTCCAGATTTTCTTTTTTTTGTACATTCCAGTAGTTCGTGCTGATCCTAAGATTCACAACAATATCATTTCCCTTGCTGCTCCTACCACTACGGAGGAGGACCCAAAAGAGGCGAGGAGTTTGCAAGTCAAAATTGAATGTTTTTACAAAAACACTTCAGAACCGATTCCCTCTCTCGCACATGCATCTCAAACTTTGCCAATTTGTAGTGCGAATGCATGATTCATGTACTTTTTTTGAAAGATCGTATGATCTCGGAAATACCAGCTGACAAAGCTTTTTCGCTAGAAATCACTAAAAACTAACATTTGAAAGTATGACTAGTTTTTCTCTGAACTCGTTCCCATTCTTTAGTTGGGTCTTTCCCTTCTTTCCGCTACTTCCTCTAACGCAGCAAGAATTATTCTTTAGAAAATACCGAGTGGGTCTTCGTATTATCTACAGATGTCATTTTATAAAGGCTGATGATATCTTTACGGTTTTTCAAAGACTATCTGTTTTGAAACATATAACATAAGGGAAGCCGTCAAAAGTCGCATCGGTGAATTTATTCCTCGTGGTTGTGAATCAATCATTGGATAAATCAAACAATGAGAATCATTTGTTACGTACAGGGAGTTGAAATCTCTTGTTCTACAGCATACTTTCGTCGGCTAAGCGATCGAACAATGGAAAAAAGAGAGAGAACTCGTGACTATGCAAAATATCAGTTCGCTGCGAACTCAAATATAGTAGTCACATTTTCAGTTCGCATCTAATTATATTCTATATATATGTATCAGACACATGTTCAAGGTTACTGGTATGCGGCGGGACTGGGGGAGAAGAGAGGTTGAGAGTGAGTTCGAAAAGTGGTTGCACGATATCCTAAATACCTAAGATACCTATATAAAAAGAAAATATCAGCAGAATGAGCTCGCAGGGAACTGGAATTGTGCATCACCTCTGATTTACAAAATTTGTAAATTAGACATTTGTAAATTCCACCTGTTTTGTTTATTTATGGAAGAAGAACGAATACCGATACAACGTTCGATGAAATCGATAAACTACTTGCTGATGAAGAATTTTGTCGAGCAGTACAAGCTTGGAAC